CAAGGTGTAGACATGTCTGTGTTCTCGATGAAGCTTGCCGAAGCGCAATTGCATCCGCGTATCCAGTCTTCGACCCGCCGTCGCATGGACTGTGGTCCCGTTAGCAGCAACGGATTTGGAGCCTCGCCGTTCAAGGATGAGTCTAGAGACCGCTCCAGCACCACCGGATCCTTCATATCAGACTGAGCACCACTCCCCGTCACAGGATGAAGATGGAGGGGGTCGGTGAGGGGGCGGTGGAAGGATTCGAGGCATAAGTGTTAAGGAGGGAGAGGGTGAGCGGGAGGGCGGAGGCGATGAGAGTTTTGTAAAGGGGGTAAAAATAACCCCAGATGTAATACGCAGAGTCCCTAAAATTGTCGGTAAATCAAAGAGCTAGAGAATAAACGATTTACGTATCTTACGTTTAGGGGCCTTTTCAATTGCATCATCCAAGATCAGTCGTGCTCCGTTGAGATTTTTCCGCCTCAATATTGAACTGCCAAGAGACATATCTGTGCGAAAGAAAACTTGTTAATGTATCATTTGTTAAGCATGTTAGTAGTTCTGATTATTTCGGTTAAAGAGTCTTAGCTGAAATAATCAGAACTATTAACATTCTTAACAAATTAATGATACTCAACGCGCCAAAAATGCAGTAAACACTTAAAAACAGCATCAAAGCCATCATCCCAAAGGCAGAAAGATACACCGGGGCACAGAATGCATTTTCAAGAACCATTGGACGCACTTTTCCCTTTTCTTGGCTGGAAATCCAAAAGCAGAAAAATATCTTTGCCCAAACATGACCAAGAAAACAACAATGTAACAAACACATTGCATAAGTAGAGCCTCATAACAAGTACAGAATGCTAAAACTGAAAAATCGGAAGTAACACTGTACACAAAAACATGCTGTTCTCTACTCCATCGCAGAGTCGCTTGAGAAACACAACTAGCCCTTCAGTATGGCGGAGGAGGATAGATCCCTAGGTAAGGTCCTGCACATAAATAAAACATCATCTCGAGCATTAAGCAATGCAAAAATAGTACATCCACTCAAAGCATGCGTGCATATGCTAATAAGAATTGCAATGAATATGCAGGTCCAATAAACTACCTGGAGCAGGATAAGCCTGAGAGTTCGGAGGAGGAGGGTAGGTCTGAGGGGGATATGACGTTGGAGGATATGATGATGGTGGATGACCCATCATAGGAGGAGCATAAGGAGAAGAATTTGGAGGGTGGCCCATCATAGGAGAAAGATATGTCGATGTTGCTGGATAAGGAGCAGAACTGGGAGGGTAAGGATAGGTTGATGTTGATGGATAAGGAGCATGATCTGGAGCGGGGTAACCCGATGTTGGAGGGTAAGCTTCGACTGCAGAAGGGTAAGAAGGTACAGGAGGAGGAGCTGCTACTGATTTCATCGGTGGGTAGCCTAAAGGAGCAGAATTATAGGCAGCTGAGGGTGCACTCATGTACATTGGAGCTGGAGAAGTATAGTTAGCTGCTGGATGATGAGCTTTCTGCCAAAACAACAATGTAGTTGGATTTAGTGAGGCTGTATTCACGTGTGAACTAAAAAATTCATGTCTACGAACTGAAGAAACCTTACATGTGCATTTGGATAGTGCATAATGAGTTTCACTTCACCAGAGAACCTGCAATGAAAGAGTTGATAAGATTGCAAACTAAATAGTTTTTTATTTCAGTGGGGTTTCTATGTGCTGAATTTTACCTTCCTGACTTAGACTGCAGAGGCCAGGATGAGTCGTCATAGCCCTGAGATAGAACCTTCTGTAGCTGAACTCTGCAAATAAATGAGGGGGTGTCTGGTCAGGAATAGTTAGAATAGCAAGAGAAGTTTACATCACATAGTTTTAACTTCTGGTTTTGCAATTGAACACAAAGGCAACTACCTTTTTTCGTTTTTACAACAAATAGATTTCAATCGTAACATGTACCAAAAATGTATGCTGAAAGCTAGATGTAACTGGAACAATGTGGATCTACTTTTTGGCTCACTCGGCTTTTATAAAGATAGATTTATTCTTGATAGTGTTGCATGTGCTAATGAGATTGTCTTTGCTTCACATTGTCCCAATTTTAAGGTTTTTTCCTCAAGCTTGACTTCGAGAACGCTTTTGACTCCATGAGTTGAGAATTTCTATTTAAGCTTCTTGTTGCTAGACTTTTCAGCTTTCGCTGGGGTGGATGTCTTCATGTCTCTATTCCAGTACTTAGTTGGTTCTCATGGTTCTTCGAGTCAATATATTTATTGCCTAAATAGGGCTACGACTAGGAGATTCATTGTTCCCATATCTTTTCATTCTTGCTACTAATAAGCTTACTAGAATCCTCTCAAAGAGCAGTTAGCAAGGGTTTTATTTAAAGAGTCAGCAATTTTCCATGTCACAATGACATACTCAGTTTACATTATGCTGGTGGTGCTCTTACCGTTGCTTGCTAATGCGAGGTTTTTATACAATCTCAAAATTAGTTTATGTGCCTTTGAGGCAGCTTTCGGCCAATTTTCACAACCTTTGGTCTACAACCTATGTGGGATTGATGAAGTTGGTGAGATGGTTGCTTTGATTTTGGATTGCTGCTTAGGAATCTTCCCATTCACATATCTTGGATTGCCTATTAAACCTCCTTCCCTCTTTTATGACAACCTATCCTAGATCGTATTGACAAAAGTTTAGCTTCTTGGATAGGATCATCTCTCTCTAAACGAGGCAAAATTGTGCTTAGGAAATCAGTACTTTCATTGTTCCCTATGTACTTCATATCATTCTTCCATCTTCCTTTATGGGATCTTCATTCTATTGGCAAAATATGAAGAGTATTCTTTTGGAAAGGCACAAAGGAGATTCATGGAAGCCTTTGTCTTGTGTATTAGAAGAGATTTATACTCCAATGGATCTGTGTCTTAACCTCAGACAATCCAATACATGTCTCCATGCTAAATGGTGGTGGCAATTATTCTTAGCATCTAACTCATCTTCAGTTACAATTGTGCTAAACAACTACTATAGAGGGACACGTATATGATCTAGCCACTCTCATTAATGATTATGTTTATCTGTTCTGGCGTGGTGTTCTTAAGGCAACAATAGCTCTCTTTTTCAGTAATTAGAGTTGGTGTGGGTAATGGTACACCGACGATATTTTGACTAGAGCATTGGATGGGGAGTTGATTAGGCTTGCAACAACCTTTCAGATTTGGTATAGTTTGCTACAGACATTACAGTCACGATTAATTAACAATGCTCACCAGTAATAGATTCATGGTCGTGTACGCCTGATGAGTACATCCAGGCACGTGCATGAGCACGTGATTTTTGCCGAGTTTATCAGCGCAGGAGGCGCTGAGTTTCAGCGTTTATGTGGTTTTGATTTCAATAGTAGTATTTCAGTTGTAATAGTTAGTTCGAATTTTGAATTTCGAATTTTGAATTTTTGGTTTTCGATTTGGTAGTTAATCAGTTTTTGTAACTGAGAGTTTGAGTGATTATGAGAGATTTGAGGGATTATGTATTTTCTCTTTTATTTAAACACTCTGATAATCAAATAAACTATTTAAGATTGAATAATGAATGAAATTTATTTTGCTTAATCATGGTGTGAAACCCTAAGCTTAATTTCTTTCTCTGTTCATTGTTCCTCCCAGCCGC